ACTGGTACAGTTCCTTGGGGATACAGGGGGCTGGAAGCTTACAAAGGACCAAAAGGAAACTTTTGGGTGCAATGACTGAGGTAACAATTTCACAGGTGCATACATATGGCCAAACTATCTATCAAATTGTACAGTTTAAAATTTGCATTTATTGGGGGCCGGCCCGGTGGCGCACTGGAGAGTGCTCCCAGGGAACCGCCGAGGGTTCGGATCCCATGTGGAGACCGGTTCCCGCTCACTGGTTGAGCGTGGTGCGGGCGCAACACCGAGGGTTGCGATCCTGTTGCCAGTCCCCGGTGCGGGCGCGACACCGAGGGTTGCAATCCCGTTACCGGTCAGTAAAAAAGACAAAAAGGAAAAAAAAAATTTGCATTTATTGTATGTCAATTATACCTCATAATGCTTTAAAAAATGAAACCATGTTAAGTACTAGATGAAAATGTAGGTGAATTCTTTTGTAACTTTGAAGTAGTAAAAACTGTCTTAACTATGACTTAAAATCAAAAAGATACAATAAAAAATAGATTGATATATTTTATTACATAACAACCTTTCACATGGTCAACACACACACACACACACACACACCATAAAGAAAGTAAAATACAAATGACAACCTTGGAAAAAATATTTGCAAACTATGTCACTTTATAAAAAAGGGTTTATAACCCTAGTGTATAAAAGCCTCTTAGAAATGAAGACCAACCACCTACAGAAAAATGAGTTAGAAATATGCATCAACAATTTATACAGAAAGAAATGCAAATAACCTTCAACTATATAAAAAGATGATCAACCTTGCCCATAAAAGAAATACAAATTAAAATTACACCAGGATACCATTTTCTGTCTACCAAACTGATGAAAATCTAAATGTTTGAGCATAGACTGTGTTGAAGAGTCTGTGGAGAAACAGATACCCTTATGCCTTACTGGTGAGAATTCAAAATGACACAGTTCCTAGGGAGGGAAATTTGGTAATATTTAATATCTAGCAAAATTACAAAAGCATATAGCCTCTGGTTTAGCAATCTCGTTTCCAAGAGTCTAGCTCAAAGACAAACTGGTAAAAATGTAAAAAGTTGTTTGCCCAAGTCGTTTTATTGCAGTACTATTTGTAACAGCAAGATTTAGAATAACTGAAATGTCCATCAAGAGGGAACTGGCTGAATATGGCTCATCTGCAGAACTCAACACAGATGTACAAGAACTAAAGATCATAATGAGATATACATATATATATACATACACACACTCCTCTGGAGTGATCTGAAGGATAAGATTGTTAATAGAAAATTGCACAGTGGAGAAAATGTATTATTGTATGTTACTATTTATCTAAGAAGAGAGATATTGTGTGCTACTATTTATCTAAGAAGAGAAGGATATGAACATCTATGTACTCTCTTACAGTTTTTAAAAAGGAAGGATAAGCCATTTAAAAAAAAAGGTTAGGGAGTGGGAAGGAAACAGGGTAGAAGAGATAGGGAAAAAAGCTAGGCTTCTCTGAATATATCTTGTTTTGTAGATCTGACTTTAGAATCATATAAGTATTCTATAAAACAAAACATAAAGGAATCCTTAGAATTTGAAAACAAAAATGAAGCAAATGAATCTGACTATATTGGTGGCATAGCTACATAGAGAAAAACAATTCCAAGTTACTGATGTGAGTAATCATAGCATTGGTGCATTGGTTTGTTATTTTGAAACTATTGTGTATGTAATATGGGGCAAAGCAAATGAGTAATTATAGTATGTTGTTTAAACTGGGATCTTTGGCATCAAAGAAAGTACATTCATATGTAAGATAAATGAGGTTAAATAAAAATCCTGTAGTACAGAATTTGAATTGGATATATCACTGTGACCTTATGATATACAAAAGTATATTGCTTCAGTTGATATGAATTCCTACTGATACTTATATTTCAAATACACACATACACACACAAAATGTATCTATTTTCCAGTTTGTGAAACCACTGATAAGATCTAGAAACAATTACCAACCCAAGAATTATAAGCATCCCATGTACCCAGGTCATAATCTATTGATACCACTTTGCTGATTCCAAGCATGGGGTAGGCAATGTGTCAAATGATGATGGAACATCTTCATTATACCAAAAAATAAGAGAACTATCAAACATTACCAGGGTCATGTCAAAGAGATTTGACATGTCAAGGTGAAGGTGCATCCACTGACCAAAAATAGGACAATTTATAGAAGAAGAGCTGTCAATGGCTCAAAAGATATCAAACAGGTTTAAATCTGTAAGTTCATGAAGATGCAAAAAACTACAAAACCTTAACTGATCACCTGTAGAGGACACCAGGAAATAAATTTATTATTTGAAAAATGGTAAATAAAGAGAATAATTTATCTTTCCATTGTGAACTGGACCTCAGAGTAACTGAATAGTTGTTGAATAGAAGTTTCTCTTTATAAAAGTATTTCAGTCACTAAATGAAGGAGCAATGATAAAATATCACCATTTAAAGCCCCTAATAAATTAATGGATTTTGGCAATGCTCAAAGGGTGCTAATATAACAAGAATAGAAATAAGGCCTTATATGTCTCCTGATGGAAGCACACATCATCATCTATGCAGTAAAACACATACAACATAAAATTTACCATCTTAACCATTTTTAAGTGTACAGTTCAGTAAAGTATATTCACATCATTGCACGATCGCTCTCCAGAACTTTTTTTTTTTTTCCTTTTTGTCTTTTTTCATGTCCGGCAACGGATCACAACCCTCAGTGTCGCGCCCGTACCGGACCGGGACCGGCAACGGGATCGCAACCCTCGGCGTTGCCCCCACACCTCGCCCAGCCAGTGAGCGGGAACCGGTCTGTATGTGGGATCCGAACCCTCGGCGGGAGCGCCACTACACTCCCAAGCACAGTGCGCCACCGGGCCGGCCCAACAGAACTTTTTCATCTTGCAATACTGAAACTCTATACCCACTGAAGAATAACTCCCCATTTATCACCCTCCCCAACTCCTGGCAACTACCATTGTACTCTCTTTTTTTATGAATATGACTACTTTAAGTACTTCATATAAATGGAAACATACAGTATTTGTCTTTTTGTGACTGATGTGTCTCACATAATGTCCTTAAGGTTCATCCATGTTGTAGCATGTGTCAGAATTTCCTTCCTTTTTAGGGCTGAATAATATTTTATTATATGTATGTATCATATTTTGTTTATCCATTCATCTATCAGTGGACATTTGGGTTGCTTCCACCTCTCTGTGAATAATGCTGCTATGAACACAACTGTACAAATAAATATCTTCTCAAGACCCTGCTTCTAGGGCCAGCCCATGGCTCACTTGGGAGAGTGTGGTGCTGATAACACCAAGGCCAAGGGTTCGGATCCCTATATAGGGATGGCTGGTTAGCTCACATGGGAGAGCCTGGTGATGACAACACCAAGTCAAGGGTTGAGATTCCCTTACCAGTCATCTTTAAAAAAAATAAATAAAATAAAAGACTCTGCTTTTAATTCTTTTGAACTATGAATTAGTCTTGCCGAAAAAAAAAAGTAAATCTGGGTCTAATCAAGCTTCTAGATCTAACTAACTATTTATGTTTACAGAAAATACAGGGGATTGAAGAACATAGCAAATAACACACTAGAGGTATACAATCAGCAAAATCCAGATGAGAACAATTCTACGGACCCTCTTTCTTCAACAGACAAACTGCATTGAGGGGAAAAAATGATGGAGTGGAAACGAATAGATGAAAAGAGAACTACCAATCAATTGCAATATATGGGCCTTATTTATTTAAATCTTGATTTAAACTAAGTATTAAAAAACAGAGAAAAAATTATTAAAATAGTAGAGAAATCTTAACATTAATTGAATATTTAATGATATGAAGAAATGATCAATAATTTTTTTTAAGTGTGATAATGATATTATGGTGATACCCAAAAAGAATTTGTATCCATCAGAGATACATTCTGATTTATTTAGGAATGAAATGATATATCTGGCATCTGCTTCAAAATGATCTGAAAAGTTGGAGTGGGAGTTGTAAGGAGGGAGTTGGTAAGGTTACAATGGAACACTGATGGCCAAGATTTAATAATGGTTGAAAATGGTTCACATGTTATTCTAATTTGTGGAACTTTTTAAAAAATTTCCATAATAAAAATTTAACAACTTTGACTCATTGATTTACAAACTGTTCTGTGACAAAATTACTATTATTTCAGTTCTTAGAATAAGGATTTTTTTTTGTTTTAAAGAAAAGTCACAAGCCTATGTAAAAGAACAACATCCATAATAAATAGTTGTAATCAAAATGATTAGTTGTCATAGAAGTTATATTTTTCAAAATTCCTATGAGAAATACCACATTTTAGTTCAGTTTAACCCAAACATGCTATTTAATAAGAAAATATTCAATGTAAAAATAATAAATGAGAAAGAAAAAGGCAAACAATTGCACCCAAATATCACCTTGTCAGTTTTCAACTACTTACTTTTTTGCATAAAGATAAAATATCAGGAAAAAAACCCTAAGCTTTGATTTTACAAAAATTAAATTTATAATAGTTAGAAGCAAAAACTGAACTTAGTACCTTTATTTAAGTTTGTGCTGTTACTAAGCATTAGAACTACAAATTCAATTTAAAGATCTAAATATAAAACTTTCTGTAAATATATATTAGTTCTTTTATGTGAACAACAACTCCAAAAACTGTGAGAACTACCTAACTATAAAGTTTATGGAAAGGAAAGACAGTTAATCAGGGAGAAGGTAGTTAAAAAATAAACTGAATTGTAATATCCCTTAGTTTCAGATATTGAGAATTAAATGGAATTTAAGGGTCATATATGCAAAAACAAAAATGTTTTAATTTCTTCTGATTCACATCTACTTCATTCCCAGCTGAATTTCTGCCTCTAAATACATGCAGTCTCTGAAAACATATACCAAATCTTAGTATTAACAATATTTAATCGTACCTGAAAAAGATCCAAAAGAGGCTTCCAAGAAAGCATTAATACTGCTGCTCTGTTGATGGTTTTGGGAATTTCAGAATAAAATAGAGTATTTTCTCTGTTCTCACCAGACATGGCTGTAAGAGAAAACAATCACTTTTTTTTTTTTTTCAAGTAGCATTCTTACTACAATCACAGTAATAAGCACATAATGCTTTCCATATATTGCAATATTTTGCACTCTATGGGATCTACAATGAACAAGATGTGCATATGCCATATGCCATGGAAACTTTCATCAATAAAACCAAGGCTTTACAGAAAAAACGCTCATGTTCCATTTAGATATTCAGATCTTAGTCCCCTCTCAAAACAAACCAAAGTATGTAAGATGATGCAAGGAGAGTTAAGACAACTGTCATTTTTGGAATTTTTTGAGAACTGTTAGTCCCTCACAAGTTGGCAACAGATTCATGAGATTCCAACTTGACAACTTCAGATTACTAAATTTTTTTTCTGAATCATTTAAAGTACTTATTTAGAAACACACATAGGTCTAACTGAATTCTAGGTTTTCTTCATTATAACAGTTCTATAACTGTAATCATTAATAAGGCCTTTGGAGTTTCAAACAAAAGTATACTCACATTAAAACAATACAGAATCTGATGTCTTGCTAAAAATCTCTTTGTCCTTTATTAATTAGGGAAGGGAAAAGGAAAAAGAGGTCTAAACTTGGGCCGGCCCGGTGGCGCACTGGATAAGTGCGCCGCTTGGGAAGTGTGGCAGCGCTCCCGCCTGAGGGTTCGGATCCCACATAAAGACCGGTTCCCGCTCACTGGCTGAGCGAGGCGTGGGAGCAACGCCGAGGGTTGCGGTCCCGTTGCCGGTCCCTGGTCCGGTGCGGGGGCAACACTGAGGGTTGCGATCCGTTGCCGGACACGGAAAAAGACAAAAGACAAAAAAAAAAAAAGAGGTCTAAACTAGGCCAGATCTATTCTGTGAAGTCATGCAATAACTGAGCTGGATGATTACAACAGTGTAGAATGAGCTAGGTATAAAAGAGAAGTTACAGAAACACACTATGGGTATGAAGATGTGAACCAAAAAGTCGAACAAAATAAAACGAAGCTCTTCTACCCTAAGAAGTGCTAGAAAGGTATCACTTCCAAAAAGGTAAGGGGTACCGGCCAGCTGCCAAAAAAAAAAAAAAAAGATAAAAAGCTAGGGGAGAGTAAAGGAAGGGAAAAAATAAATCACACAGAAAGAACAAGAAATTTGCTCTAGTGTGGAACAGATTCTCAGCCTATGTTTCTGGTGATGGAAGCAAAAGGCAGTTTGTGGAAGGACATGGGAACTTGCATGCTAACTCTTGCAAAAGTTGAGGATGAGCCCCCTAATATCCATATTTTGCTTTATCCCCTTATTTTTCTAAACCTTTCTTAGTCTGTGTTGCCTTTGGAGTCAAAAGTAAGATATCAGCTGACATTCACTTCAGTAGTTGATTTTGTCTTAAATCTATTTTGTTTATTCCAGAGTTGCTTTGTTATAGAATTCTCAAGATATTGGTAACCTATTCATACCATTCACAATTTTACAAAAGGTGATCATATCCTCCTTAAACTTCTCCTTCTAAGAGGTTTCAGCCCTCAGATATAAAAAAAAAACCAAACTGGTTCTCATCTATCCTCAAATGAGAACCACTCCCCACAATCATTTCAGTTGTCCCTCTCTATATGCTCCTAGCTCCATAATGTCTTCCTTGGCTTTATCCACGACCAATAAACATTTCCAAGGTATTTTATGTACAGAATATTATCTATATAAAATGAACTTTTTCCCATTGTTTCTTTCCTAATGGTATTTACTGGCTTTCAGAGCTATAGCAGTCTATTTGGGCTGATGTCTTCAGGAGACAGTATTAATAAGTCCTGTTTTTCTCTAAGAGAACATGATGAGGGACAAGTGACAAAACAAAGCATGTGAAAAAATAACATGCTAATGTAACATAATGCTTGTTACTAAATAATAGAGTTTCTTTTACTCATGCCACATTCGGGATAAAAGTTCTCAAAAATGTACAATTTCCTGTAAAAGATTTCTTCTGAGTAGGTGATCAGGAAAAAGTCTAAAGTATATTAAAAATTTCAGAACAATGACTTGAATAGAGAAACACTTTAAAATTTGAACAGATAGGGGCCAGCCCGTGGCTCATTCGGGAGAGTGTGGTGCTGATAACACCAGGACCATGGGTTCACATCCTATACAGGGATGGCCAGTTGGCTCACTGGCTGAGCATGGTGCTGACAACACCAAGCCAAGGGTTAAGATCCCCTTACTGGTCATCTTTTAAAAATAAAATAAAATTTGAACAGATATAAAAGACTTGAACAAATGAAAACGCACACAATTTTCTTAAAAAGCTCAACATCTTTTTTTTTTTTTTGATGGCTTGCTGGTACGTGGATCCGAATCTTTGACTTTGATGTATTAGCTCCACGTTCTAACCAACTGAGTGAACCAGCCAGCCCTCAATATCTTACCGATATCAAATCTCTTCTAAAATTATCTATAAATATAATGTATCTTAAAACAGTATAAATAGGATGGGGAGGAGGAGGGCTACAAAGCCAATTATAAGTTCTTACAGAAAAACAAGCTAACAAAAATAATCAATAAAAGTATGAAAAAAGTGATGAAGGGGGATTAATGGTATCAAACAGTAAAATACAGAGTTATAGTAACATAAATAATAATAGGAGCAGCATAGTATTGGAATTTGATCTGACAGACAGATCAATGCGACAAAACACAAAGTCCACAAATAGATCCAAATATTTATATATGGGAACATGACATATGATAAAGGTGGCATTTCTAATCATTAGGGAGTAAGGTATTCAAAACATGTTGTTAAAATAAATGGATAGCTACCCAAGGAGAACAAGTATTTTCTCTACTTCATATCTTACAGCAAAATAAATTATAAATGATGCAAGGACTAAATTAAAAATTTATTTGATTAAAGGTGGTGAAAAAAACATTGAAGATTTTTTTTTTTGTCTTTTTTTGTGTCCGGCAATGGATCGCAACCCTCAGTGTCGCGCCCGTACCAGACTGGGACCGGCAACGGGATCGCAACCCTCGGTGTTGCGCCCGCACCTCGCTCAGCCAGTGAGCAGGAACCGGTCTGTATGTGGGATCCAACCCCTCGGCGGGAGCGCCGCTGCACTCCCAAGCGGCGCACTATCCAGTGCGCCACCTGGGAGGGGAGCGGCGCGCCCGGCGGGGGG